GCACCGAGCGCTACAAGCGCTCCAAGTAAATCCTCTGCTTGGCCACCCGAGCAAAAGGTGCATCCACATTGCTCTTCTGCTTCCCGCCCCATCTTCCATCAGTAGATGATGGCGGTACCGGCAAGACTGGGCTTACTACGCCGCGTGAGCGCAGACACTACAGGACAACCGCGAGGACGTTTGCGCCCTCGACGTACTCTGGACACCCACCTGCCCGCGTACTCATACTCAGCCGTTACACATACTACGTTACCAGGGTCTTACACCAGGACATTGATCACGCAGGGTACCATCATGCAGATATTGGGTCCAGCGCATCCTCCTTGCATACCTACTACATAATGTCGGGTGTGAATTGTCGCATCGACGATGCTCCCAGAGATCAGCTACTACTAGGAGGGGCTGGGATCTGGCTGCGCGATTCACCGTTGCATAAAGGTATACAGGTTGTTACAACAAGTTTTTCAGGGAGATGATGACAGGCAATATTTTAAGACTAGTGACATTAGAGCTGCACTCGGTCACTACCAGCGTATCGAAGTATACAAATCCAGCTGCATCGAAGGCACGTGTGAGGTTACCGTCGATGACTGCACTGACGGACCACAAGATTTACAAAACCTATAGCAGCCCCTGCGAGATGGTTACCGGCATGACGCCAGCAACTACATCCTGGTGGAGACTCACCCACATGACATGGCAGTTCTGTTATATCACTACATGCCATGGGACCCTGACAGGGGGGACTACGTCACGCTGGACATCGGCACATGGGCACCTACGATCGGCATGTTTTAGAAGGCGATCAGTACTAAACTAGTTGTCCAGCCATACGCTTGGACGCAGACCTGTGCATCAGTATGAAAGGCCACTACATGTACCACAGCGAATGTGATGTGGCAAAGAACGCAAGTTACATTACAAGCCTACAGTTACAGGCCGTTCTGAAGGACTTCGTGGACTTGATTGACCAGGATAACCACTCGATTGCACAGGAATATTGTAAGTCTAGTGGCCCACCCTCCCCAATGGGTTCACACAACAATCGCACCGACCTTCGATTCGATTTAGATGCGCTAAGCGCGTGGTAGCACCACGGAGGAGGTTGACTAGAACACCGCCTCTTAATATCCGTAAGGGCTTCGCTCCCTGCTGTCGGCCTCCTCTCTCGGATCATAAAATCTGCAAGAGATGTGTTGTGAGGCCTGGGCGCCGTCGTGAAGCAGCGTGGGAACTCCGAACGGGGGCCACTGAAGATATGAGCGTGCCCGAATCCACCAACAACTTAAGGAACATCGCAGATGTTGGCCTGTTGAGCCCCTCTTGGGGGTGCTCTTGGAGCGCTCTTGGAGCATCTCGGGCCGTCTTGAAACCATGTTGGGGCGTTGGAGCACTCTTGGGCCGTCTTGGAGGCCTCTTCTGCCGTCTTGGGGGCCTTACTGAAGGATTGTGGCCTCGAAAACGTGAATACTGTGTCGTTTACACGGGTTTACGATTTCGGGACCGCACAGAAGGTATACTTTCAGATGGATCGTGGCTTCAGGGGCGCGGGTATTGAGTAATTGACGAGAGGGTATTGCCTCGGAAACGCGAATGTTTGAATACTTTGTGAGGAACTATGGTCTCGGGAGCGCGAACACAGCGTAATTCTGCGATGGCTTATGGCCTCGGGGACGCGACTATCGTGTAACTTACAAAGGATTCTGGCCTTGGGGGTGCGAGTCTGGAGTACTTTACAAAGAATTATGGTTTCGGAGGCGCGAGTATCAAGTATTTTTCATGTCCCAGGATCCCCCAGAAGTTCTGATCCCCCCAGGTGGTGGTAACCAGGGCCGTTTTCGGCTCCACCCCTCGCGCGGATTTCAACAACTCCCAATCGGAAGCAGAACGTAACATTATAATGCGGAAGGTTTGAAGCTGGAGTTGGAGCAGGGAGAACCAAGCCTAATCAGCGGAGTCTTGTGGCCCCACCAGGAAGCCAGCGGATTACTTCAGAATCATACGTCGGTGCGCCGTTCGTGACACCAGGTGCAGCATCACCGACAATCAATGCAAAAGCACACACAGTCTGTGGGAGAAAAACACACACTGTGGGAAACCACACACTGTGGGAAAACAAGCACACAAAACACATACAAAAAACCACACACGGTGGGAAACAACACAGTGTGTGTGCGTGTGTGTGTTTTCCCACAGTGTGTGTTTTTTCCCACTGTGTGTGTGTGTTGTGTGTGTGTGTTTGTGCTGCGTCTGCGGCGCAGCAGGCACGGTGCGCCTTGTACAGTCGGGGCCCTGAAGAAGGAACCCTTTTCGTTGGGGAGGGGCTCCGTGTTCCTTAGTGTTTCGCAGCTTGCCTCAGGTTTTCCTTATGTTTTCGATCGGAAATCGAAGGTTCCTTTGTGGAACAAAAGGGGCCTCGTTCCCTATTTAGGGTTCATTCGGTCAACGCCCCGACTGTACAGCCCTGCGTGCAGGGTGCGCCGTCGTTGGCATCTGCCGCCGCGCCTCCCGTGTGCCCCCTCCTCCTCTTGTGTGGCGTGCAGTCGCTCGACCCACCTCCTCCTCCTCCTCCTCCTCCCTCCTCTCCTGCCACCTCCTCCCCCTCCTCCTCCTTCCAACCTCCCTCCTCCTCCTCCTCCCTCCTCCTCCTCCTCCTCCTCCTCCGCCTCCTCCTCCTCCGCCGCCTCTCCGCCCGCCTCCTCCCCCTCCTCCCTCCTCCCCCCAAACCTCCCTCCTCCCTCCTCCCTCCTCCCTCCTCCATCCTCCCTCCTCCCTCCTCCCTCCTCCTCCTCCTCCTCCTCCTCCTCCTCCCCCCTCCCCCTCCTCCTCCTCCCCTCCTCCCTCCCTACTCCCTCCTCCTCCTCCTCCTCCTCCTCCTCCTCCTCCTCCTCCTCCTCCTCCTCCTCCCACCTCCCTCCTCCTCCTCCTCCTCCTCCTCCTCCTCCTCCTCCTCCTCCTCCTCCTCCTCCTCCTCCTCCTCCTCCTCCTCCTCCTCCTCCCCCTCCCCCTCCCCCTCCCCCTCCTCCTTCGCATTCCTCCTTCCGTAGCCATTTTGGCTCAAGGTTTTGGTTTCCCCTGGGAACAAAGTGGATACCGCTAGTCCGCGGCCAGCTTTCGTCTTTCGCCTGGTTCGCCCCAGGCAGAGCGCCGTGCGGTCCGCCCCGCACGGCCCAGCCCCACCACGGCCCGCTTGTCTTGCCTCGCGTGGTTCCTCGTCGTGTACGCACTCGACCTGCCCTTCCGCCCGCCGGCATGGCGCCCAGGTCACGCAGCACGGAGGCAGGCCCATGGTATTGCAAATGGTGCAAGCATGAGCCTACGGGTACGAGCTGGATCAACCGTGGTGATCAGAAGTGGTGTGGCAAGTGTGGCATCCCGAAAGGTTCCGCTTTCTACGGGGTGCCCCCGCCCAAGGTCCCAGTGCAGCGCTCTCATGAACTGGCCACGAAGCGTGAGAAGCTCCTCACTAAGCAGTTGGAAGAGCTGCAGCTGCGCATGCAGAAGTTGGTTGGCAGTCATAATGGTACGGAGTTGGAGTCCAAGGAGCCCGCTATTCCTCCCTGGGCTAAAGGCACTGGAGTGGCGGTCAAGCGTGAGCGCCTCACCAAGCTTGGCAGCCTGCTCAAGCTCCTGTCGGGGCCTGAGGACGCCGAGCAGCGCGCGGTGTATGAAGCCGAGAAGCAGCGCTTGCAGGCCGAGCTACAGGCCGACAAACCAATCGAGGCCAATCTGCAGGGGCTCACCAGTCAGCTCAAGACCGCTCGCACGAAGCTGTCCAACATCGCTGTCAAAAAGGAGGCTGCTCGTGCCACGCTGGAGAAGGCCAAGCTGGCCCTGGCGCAGGTCGAGCAGGACGAGCAAGATGCTAACAAACACATCGTGGAGCTTGAGGAGAGGTTGCGCCATGTGGTTGGTCCCGCGGTGCAGTTCGATGATAAGTCACCATCCCTGTCCACCTTCTTGCCAGGCATGGAGGCCACGGTCGAGCAGTTCGACGCCGTGGTCCGCGCGCTGGGCGGGTCGGAGCGGTTCAGCACCGACCTCGTCGCCATGCGCGCGCTGGTGCAGAAACTCAAGGAAGCCCCAGAGGTTGCAGCTGCACCTGAACCGCCTCAGCCCGAGACTCAGTCCACTCCTCCTGAGGCTCGAGAATCCATGGATATCGACGATGATGAAGATCAGGATCGTGCTAATGCTCACGTCGATGGCCTGGACGGTCGCACATGCCGTGAGCATCTCAAAGAGTGTGGTATCGATGTCGACGTGGGCGGGGATGATGACGAGATTGACGACACTAAGGAGCGTGAGCTTCGTGACAAGCTCAAGCGTCATTTGGCCCAAGTTCACTCGCTTACCAAGAAGTTCAAGACCAGTGGTGCGACCGCTGCGTAATGTGATCGGGCGGCTTGCTGTGGTTTTGTTCTGTCTATGCTATCCTTTTGTTGCAATGACGACGCCTACTGCCCAAGAAGAGCTGACCTCAGCTCCCAGGCGTTCTCTTATGGACGATCCTGACGTTGACCCCTTTCAATTTGATCAAGCAGCTGACAGTCAGCCTGATCTGCCTGAGTCATGTGCTCAGTTTGCCCCTACTGCGTCTTCTGCAAGGGCAGCTACTGCGACTACGGGTGCTACGCCATCGTCTCGGTCGCTACACTCACCTGTCACTAGGGGGCAGGCAGAGAGCGCCACATGTGCACCGATTGCGTTGACGAGCTCGGCCCCTCGCTCGACGAGAGTTGATGGCTCTACTGGGCGACCCGATGGCATGCATCCTTTAGACCCTGGCAGCACGCACTGCTCACCACGCTCGCCCGATGGGCATCGCGTGGCAGAGGGTACCGACTGTCCAGGGGTTCGTCGACCTGATGTCAAGGTTGCTGGCCAGGTGAAGGGTAAAAGCGACTCACAAATTGTGACGCTCAACTCAAGCTCGCTGGGTCCACTGTGCGACTACCTGGTGGACAGCACTGCTCACGTGGTGCTTGCACAAGAGCACCATGTGCCTGATACCAAGCTTGGAGAGCGTCAGTCGCAAGTTGAAGACACTGGCTGGAGAGGGCTCTGGGGCCCTGCTGTGCCTAACCAGGATGGAGGGCCTGGCACTACAGGTGGAGTTGCAGTATTGGTCAGGTCACACATTCCCATCAAGGCGCCTCCTGGCCGCGCTAGTCATGTACTTGTTCCTGGCAGGCTGGTGGCTGCGCACGTCATGCCCTTTCTTCCTGGAGGAGTTGTCTTCCTGTCGGCCTATCTCAAGGACGGCGAAGGGTACGGACCGTGCAACGCCGAGCTGGTGTGGGAGATCATCGAGTACCTGTCAGTGCTCAACGGCATGCAGATCCCGTGGATCATCGGCGCCGATTTCAACATGCCGCTCACCGCCCTGGACCAGTCCGACTGGATAGCGGCGGCTGGAGGACTGGCTTTCGTTTCTGAGGCGCCCACTTGCAGGCAGGTTTCACCTGGCACGCACCTTGATTATTTCATTTGCAGCAGCTGGCTGGCGCCAAAGCTCAACCCCCGCACGTGCGTGTTAGAGGCTGCCACCACCTACCCTCACCTCCCCGTCCAGCTTACGTTGAGGGCTCGGGAGACGCCTGTTTGGGCTCGGGTGGCCAAGGTCCCGAAAGCTTTCCCGTCGACCCCTCCCATTGGCTGCGCTAGACCTCCTATATACCCGTGGCACGCGGTTTTGACGACCGCTGCCCCGCAAGTGGACTCTGTAGCCAAAGTTGCTGATTTTTGGGATCTCGTCCTCGAAGGGGTGGAAAGAGAGCTGGCCGCCAGGTGGGACCGTGTTGGCGTTGCCGCCGAGGCCTACGTGGGCCGCAGTGGGCCTCTTGAGGTCCATTTCAAAAAGCTTGTCTGGACTCCCCCCAGAAGGAGGACTTATAAGGATCCGCAGGCACGTGCCTGGGCCGTCGCTCTTGGGTGGGCCAAACACCTTGGCAAGGCCAGAGAACATCTCAGTGAGCAAATTAGGCTGTTGCAAGAAAACGATGCTCCATGTTCTGCTGCGCCTCGCCAATGTCGCAAGCTTCTCTCGGCTTTTGAGGAGTTCGATCGTTTCATGGCCAACATCGCCCGCTGTAAAAAAGTCCTAGGTTGCCTTGACTCTGAGGTGCGTGATTTCTTCAATGGCGGCTTCGCCGTCCTTGCACGTCCCGATGCGGCCAGAATGCTCACTACTATCTACACTCGAGCGAAGGCTGCAATTGCTCGTGCGGAGAACGCGGCGTCCCAGGCTTGGAGGCAATGGGCTAGGGACGCTTTCTCTGCTGGCGCCTCGAAGGCCCACAGGTTCTCAAAGGTGAAGGCCATCCAAGAGGTTTTAAGCAACCAGGCGCGTGAGGCTCCCCACCAGCAGGCCGATGCGGAACTCGTTCCCTGGAAGGAGGTTTGGTTGTCCCACGGTTGTTCCGTTCTCGAGGTTCCGCGAGGGTCCACCAGCTGGCCCATGTTGCCGCGCATCACGGCCGCTCAGGTGGAGGATGCTGTTCACACTTACCCTACTCGCACTGCTGGAGGCATGATGGGTATTCATCCGAGAGCTTTAATACACCTGCCTAGACAGGCTTTTTCGGCGATTGCAGAACTCTTTAACCTGTGCGAGTTGCATCTAGCCTGGCCTAGAGAGCGTGTCTGTAATGAGATGTGTCGTCTTGCCAAACCAGATGGTGGGACTCGACTGATCGCGCTCGTCTCTTTGCTGTGCCGTGTCTGGGGTAAAGTTCGCAAGCCCATCACCTTCGACTGGCAAGAGCGTAATGACTGCCACGCTGTTTGGGGGACTCGTCGGGGCCACAGCTCCTCAGACAGTGCTTTTGCTCACAACATTGCTGCCGAGATGGCGGCGCTAGTCGGTGATATCTCCGTTTCTGTCCTTCTAGATATGATCAAATGCTTCGAGATGGTACACTCGGAGCAGCTACTAAAAGAAGCTGAAGCTTTGCACTTTCCAATGCGGCTAGCTTGGATGTTGGTGGATCTGTACAGGCAGCCACGACGTCTTCGAGCTTTCGGCAGTCTGTCTGTGCAGTTCTGCTCGCATCAAGGCATCCTTGCAGGGTGCAATCATGCGACAGGCATGCTTTTCCTCCTCACGCTGCGCGCGGTGCGTAGGCTCAACGACATTTCGCCCTGTATAACACCGAGAGCCCTAGTCGACGACATCTCAATTCAGCTCGTCACTTCGGATCCTCGGGACGTGCGTTTCCTGGAGCGTGCTGTGAAAGTGTTCACTGAAGATGCCAAGGTCCTCGGGCTCCACTCCCATGTCAAGAAGTCTGGGCTCATTGCTGGGAACAAAGTGGCTCGGAAGGTGTTTTCGAAGATGGCTATTCGGCTGCATCTACCGGTTCGTAAATGGATGAGAAATCTCGGGCATGAATTAGCTGCTGGTCGGGTTGTTCGCACGCAGGAGAAGAAAAGGTTACAGGCTCTCAAACGTCGTCGTGACAAGTTCGTTGCGCTGAAACATGCAACTGGCAAGCGTGCAACCCGACTGTGGAGGACTCGAGCTCTCCCAGCAGCTGGACACGGTGGCTCCGTGTCGGGCATCTCAGACACTGCGCTAAAGTATTTGAGGCAGCTTGCGGCTACGATCGCAGGGGCCAAGCAGCACGGTGGCATTACTTCGTATCTGCTGACGCAGGCCGATCCGCAATACGACCCGATCTACGACTCCACTACTTGTGTGTGTGTTAAGTTCGCCACGTTCGTCTGGGACGAAAGGATTCAGTTATCGAGACTTCAACGTGCTTGGACCCGTCTGAGAGACATCATGTCCGACAACCCTACCTGGCAGCAGGCTCGAGGTCCGCTGTCGGCGGTGTGGCTCAGCCTGCTTCGCATCGGCTGGACGATGGTCAATGCCCACACTTTTCGCAGCGATCTTGGTACAGATATTTCGCTGCTGGTGGTGTGTCCTGGTGATGTGCGTATTGCGATTATTGAAGGTGTGCAGCGGTGGCAGATACGTCGGTTGCAGCAGCACCTCTATAACACTGACCCTCCAGAAGGGGAGCCTTGGTTTCGTGCGCTACGTAATGGCATACGTGCTGTAAAAGACCAGCGGGCTCTTGGGGCCCTGGCGGCCGTCTGGGGGAATGTGGTTCCGCTACCTGCTGCACTTTCTGCTCTACAATATGATGTACCACCAGTGTGCCTTGCCTGCTCCGCTCCTCAAGGTACGTACGGACATGTGTGGTATGCCTGCTCTAAGTTCATCACCGACGACGGGGTTGACGCTTTGGGTGACGAGGTTCCTGAGGCCCTAGCTAAGCATAGGCGCGTTCTGATTGAGTCACGGGCCTCTATTACTGGGGAGCCCGATGTACACTCTAATTATTTAACTTATGGCATCCCTCCTCTCCCCACTAATATTCCCGCTCCGCTTGCCAACCCGCCTATTCTTGAGTTTGGGGACGTCTCTGGGCCCTGGGGCCCTCAGTCTTTCACCGACGGGAGCTGCTTTCACTCTGGGGTCCCAGAGGTCTCCAGAGCTGGTTGGAGCGTGGTGCATTTATTTGATTGCCTTCTTCCCTTGAGGGCCGTATATGGAGCGCTTCCAGGTGAGCGTCAGACCATAGGTCGCGCTGAACGTTGGGCAGTGCGGCAGGGTCTGGCTTTTCACCCACAGCATCAGAGTATTGTTTCGGACCTCCAGGCAGTAGTGCGTGAAGGCAATTCTTGGAGCCTGCATCTTTCCCAAGGCATGTCCAAGCATGCATCGATCTGGAGGTCCATATTTGACTTGAAGTCTAATCACCCCCAGTTCTCCTGGTTCCCTGCCCATCTGAGTTTTGACGACGTTTTGGAGCGTGGGCTGTGTATCAAAAGTTGGACTGGGAACCTGTGGGCTGACTTTTTCGCCAAACTAGGGGCTAGCTCTCACACGCTGGCTGAAGGTTTCTGTGCGGCGGTATCAGGTGAATTAAAATATCACAAGTCCACGGTGCGGTTCATTGCATGGGCTGCTCAACGTTTGCTCGAGTCAGGCACATGGACACAAGTTGACCCTGATCGTCCCCTCCGCCTCTTGAGAGCCCCTGCCCCTCCTAAGGTCACGGTCACTAGCCATGTGTTATTTCGCTGCGAGGCCACCAGCACTTATAAGTGCAGGAGCTGTGGCCGTGTGGCTCGCACTCTGGAGTCGCTGAAGAGCCTGCTTACGAGCAGAGACTATCGTGATTGTTCTCCGTCTTCGATCCAGCGACACGTGTGCGACCAGTGGTTTCGCGAGTTTGGGGCGGCTTTTAGGCCCGTGCAGCTGGAAGCAGTGAGGGTTGCTCTGGCTGCCGCTGACGAAGCTCAGCGTGTGTGCACTGATGAAGTCCAAGGTCCCCCGACTCCGGTGGCTGAGCCAGAGCCGTCGGACGAGTTCTCTGTGTTTCGGGACCTGGGGCACGACGTTTTCCGTCATCTGCATGTGTACTGTTGTAAGTTGTGCGGGGCTCACGGATCTCTTGGCTCGCTGCGAAACCTCACGCAGCAATGCAAAGGGAGGTCCAAGGTCCCGAGCACTGCCGCCAACCAGAGAATGTCGATTAGACGGCTGGAGCGCGGGTGTCACCCCAGAACGGGCGTGAAGATAGCTGGGGCCACCGAGCGCGGCGATGACCGCGCGGAGCTCCGCAGCGCTGATGATCCGAGGCCGCTGGAAGCGGCCGCCAGTGTTCCCGAACCCGTTCCCGATGGAGCGAGCTCAGGGTCTGATTAAACTCGTTTTGTTTTTCTTGGGCCGCCCTTGTAGTCTGTCGCCCGTCGTCTCCCCCTCCCCCGCCGCATACGTGTGCCTCTTC